TAGTGGTTATAGCTGGCATCCAGCTTGGAGAACTAAGTTTAGGGTCAGCACCAGAGTCAACTGCCAATTACCAGAGCTAAGAGTCAAGAGTTGTAGCCAGGGTGAGATACCAAATGTCAGAGCCAAGGGTCAAGCGAGAATGAGAAGTTGGAATCAGGGTTCACAGCCCCAGCTGGTAACTGATAGTTGGAGGTCAGGCACAGAGCAGGAGCAAAGGGGGAATTGGGAGCAAAGGTAAGGTTGAGGAAGAAGACAGGAGTGAAGCAGTAATCAAGAACAGAGATGGGTGCATGATACAAAAGGCAGGAAGCAGGCACAAGCAAAGTCCAATGTAGCAGTAAGCAGGAGTCACCTAGTTGCCTGGAAAACTTCTTATGCCTCCCTCTGGCTTAAATAGCATGGTTGGAACCATTGTTAGAGCTGGGGGATACTCCAATTAGAGTTCCCATGGAGGATGTCTAGACTGAATCTATAGTTTTACGAGCTCCTTGAACTACCAGGTTTCCACTGACATTGGTTAGAAACCATGATGTTATGGCTATCCGAGAACTCATAAGTTTGGGTTCAAAACCTGGGACATCACAGTTACCAGCCTTGAGTCTTATGTATTTCACATAATCCAAATAGCCATGCCTGACAATTCCAGGAGTATGGAAAGCATTTAATCCGCAAAACTTCTAATTTGGGGAATATGAACAATTAGGCTTAAATGCTGTTTTCATGTTACTCATGAAGACAGTTATGAATTACACAAGGAAAAATGAAAGGGCATGCCAAATTACAATCAATATTTCTGATTTCTTCCCAGATCCTTACATTATTGAAAATTGAAATGTCATTGTCAGTATTTGGGTGCAAATGACCACACCAAGCATACTGCTTTGCTTCAAAGTTCCCATGTCTGGTATTCTGCAAACCATGACTTCCTAAATTGGAGAAAGATTACCTAAAATGATACACATAGCAAACTTTAGATGATCTTCTCATAGGGTATGATATTTAGCCTTAATAACAGGTCTTCTAAGTATAAGACATTATGGAAAATCTATAAACTTTACTAGTTAGGCTGCTGACATCTCCTAAGATCACTGACATCACAGGTGTCAGTGTAACTGTTGCAATGAATGTATCTTAACATTCATTGCATAGGCAAAATACATTGAAAAAAGTAGCTGCTGGGCATATATCGCCTCTGCTTTTCAGAATTGAGCTATTCTGATGATGTTACTTCTTAAAATAATACAGCATATTACATAATAATCCCGGCAAAGTGCTAAGAGCCAGGTTTTTAAAGGTACCTACATTTATTTTAAAATGTGGTACTATGGACCTTTACAGTAGTGGTTCCCTAAAATAGCTAAACTTTATTTACAGTGGATTTTTAAAAAACTGCAAACACTAACCATCTGCATTTTAGCTGACAATATATTACAAAGGGCTTATCCAACAGAAATACTACACTTAGTACTGCACATATTAACCTTTTAGCTGTAGGATCATTATGGGATTGAATCTGTAGGACTTTGGAACACTTTATAATGTCATTATAATTGTATAGTGTTAAGATTATCCCCTTCTTTTGGATTTACAATAATTTTCTATTTAAATCAAAATCGTGATGAATGAGCTAAAATAATAATTCTTTGAAGATCTGAAAGATGCTTGAAAATTTTCATATCTCAAGGGTCTATTCTTGTCCAAATTATTTAAATACTGAAACACAGTAATAGCTGTTTAAATCTGCTCTTCCTGTAATTATAATCATCTATCTTTGGATATAAAAATCGGTTACTACACATCATGTACATACTCTGATGGATCGCTGTTTCTGAAGTAAAAAAAAAAAGAGCTGTCATGTTAGAGTTTTACACTGTTATTTACATTACTACTAGTAGTCTGTAGCACATATAATAGTACCATTACACTTTATTCCCTGACAGGCATCAAATTTATCTAGAAATAATTACATTATAATGCCATTGACAGAATTTTGAAAACTGCCAGAGCCATAAATGATCCTTGTACCTTTGGCATCAAAGCATTTCATTACCATACTCCTTGCCTGAAAAAAAATGTAATGTCCCAAATCAGTGTGTTTCAATAAATACAGAGGCTAGTGTTAATAAATCTGAAATAATATGCCCACGTACAAAATGAGCACATCAGGAACCTGCAGTTGTTTTAGAATGCTGTCACATTATTCATTTCAATTTAAATACTAGAGTGTTGGAGACTTAGATAAAATAATGTTTTAAATAACTATTGTTCATATATGATACAATTATAAAGACCAAGATCACGTGCTATTATTAAGAAATATACTTTGATATGCAACAGCTCTTTCAGAATCAAATAAGGTCATGTGATAATATTTACAACTCTAAAGAGAGACAAGATTATATACTGGGAATTACAGAGCATATTTTTCTAGAATTAATACTATTGTTTTGCAAAGTACAAGGAAGCTAATCTGCAGAGCCTACTGTTCACAGAGACAGTGCTGGTTATCCTGGACTATACAGCACTGGATTAAGTACATATTATTCATCCTACACTCTCCTCCTGTTTTCACAGACATTACATAAAAGACAGACTGTTAATAAGTCTGGTATGAGAGACCTCAGATATTTGATTCTTCTGTCTAATATTCACACAATAAACCAACCCAGAAGGAAGGAAATGAGACATTTTTAGGGCAAACTCTTGTAGATTTCACAATGAATTGCACTAAAGTTACCTAGCACAGGACTTCCTGTAAAACAATGTAAAAGAACAGCAGAAAATGTCACAGGACCAGTTCTAGGCCTGGCTCCAGTGGCACAAATCAACCACAAAGCTAACTCAACCTGCCCTTAGACTGAAGTTTGGAGTGGTGTAAAACTGCCATGGTGACTTTTATATTGCCACCCATCTTGGCTTCCCCAGTGCAGCGGCTGTGAGGTTATTGGATTGTCCCTCCTCCCAACGTAAAAATAGGTTAAAGCCACTTTAAAACCCTATTCCTGAGCAGACCTTGTATGCTTATTCATAGAACACTTTTAGAATGACTTTTTTTTCTATAAATGGACTGTATAATTTTGTATCCACAGTCAAGACTGGGTGCCACCTGCAGGACACAATCATTTGTGAATTCAAAGATGACACCACCTAATTTGTTGCCACACATCTGCAAAGTTGGGGAGATGTCTACATTCTAACATTTGCATCTGCAACTGGTTGCAAGTACAACACTGTAGTTGCAATCATAGAAGCCAGGGAGGAAAATTCAGTTCCTTAAGATAAAATTCTACTCCTATACACACACACTATAACTTCCACTGGAGTTAATGGGAGTCATGTGAGTTCATCTAAAAGCAAAGTTTCTGATGGGCAAGAGATACAATGCTATCATAAAAAGATAAATAGTTAGGTAAAAGCTTACAATTTCATCCACTATGAGTACAATTTGGGAATTGCTAAAGGTGATATCTGAAGAGCATAAAGACAGTGGATCAAATTCAGCCCTGGAGTAAACAAGCACAACTGCCACTGACTTCAGTTGAAGTCCACTTACACAGAGTTGGATTTAGCCTTACTGGTCAGGCTATTCATGCAGGCTATGTCTACACTGGCATGATTTTCCAAAAATGCTTTTAACGGATAAGTTTTCAGTTAAATGCATTTTCGGAAAAATCACGTCTAGATTGGCAGGATGCTTTTCCGCAAAAGCACTTTTTGCGGAAAAGCGTTCGTGGCCAATCTAGACGCGGTTTTCCGCAAAAAGCCCCGATCGCCATTTTCGTGATCGGGGCTTTTTTGCGGAAAACAGTACTATGCTGTCTACACTGGCCCTTTTGCGTAAAAGTCTTTCGGAAAAAGACTTTTGCCCGAACGGGAGCAGCATAGTATTTCCGGAAAAGCACTGATGATTTTACAGGAGATCGTCAGTGCTTTTCCGGAAATTCAAGCGGCCAGTGTAGACAGCTGGCAAGTTTTTTCGCAAAAGCAGCTGATTTTGCGGAAAAGCTTGCCAGTCTAGACACAGCCGTAGAGTTTAAGGATTTAGGGAATATGGATAAGTGTAAGGGAAATTTGCTCTGAAGCAGATGCTCAAACTGGTTCAATAGGTGCAGAATACATGTACTGTAGCTTGTATAAGACACAAATGCACTCTCTCTCTCTCCAGGTACTTGTAACATCCTTGTTATGTCGTGTGGAGTTCCACAATATAGGAAGAAATCAGTGGAAATACAGAGAACTTGAGTAGTTGCAAGTGTCCGTATTATTGCACAGCACAGAACTAACTAGAACAAGCCCAAACCAGCTGGGCTGACCCCAGTGACCTAACTCAGTAACTATAACAACAAGACCTATATCTACAACCCAATACACAACAATCCTCCCCTTCCCTTCTCGCTCTAAAATTGCTACTGTGAGAGTACTATGAAAAGATGGCATGTCTCAGAGGAAATCAACTTGTATCATATCCTGGGCTGATGAAACCAATGAGCAGCAGTCATACTTTGTTAAAGCTTATTGCCCCTACTCAGCTCACATTATTGCAGGTAATGGATCCAGTGGTAGGTAATGTGGCATATATATAGGACAACCCACAGAGAGGTGTCTTCCTCCACATCCAGTGTATACATACTCATTCATCACAAAGTTTATTGTGAACCACTTCTTTTTCATCAATTAATTCTGCCCTGCACATGGTCAAGTCTAAGTTAGCTAGTTATTCACTAGATAGTAAATGGGAAGCCATCCTCAGACCTGAGACTGGTGATTGGTACAAAAAGAATAAGCAACTCCACCTATTCTCCCCTCCTCCCCCCAGATATCTTACTTCTATATGACTACAGTACTGGAATATTTGTTAGGTCCAATATGCAGTAGGAGGTTTCTTTGCTTTTGGTAGTAAGTCCCCATTTCTTTTCACAGAGACAGGGCCAGGCTCTACATAGTATATTATTTGCAGTTTGCGCTATAATTGAATTTATTATCATATAATTCTTTCTTACCAGCAGTAACCTGAATTTCATCCTGGACACTCGGTGTCTTACTTTTAGTGGTGATAGCAATATTTCTTGCTGTTGGCATAGCAGTGGTTCCAGGAACTACACCAGTTAACAGAACTTCCACACGCTCCTCCACTCTGTCTCTGGCACGACAGCATACAACAGCTACAGAAAAGAAGGGATCAAATTTTGGAAAATGATGCACGCACACACAGAAAGAGAGAGAGACGGAGAGAGGGAGGGAGGAAAATGATGCACACACACACAGAAAGAGAGAGAGACAGAGAGAGGGAGGGAAATAGAGTCATAGATGTCTAGGTTAGAAGGAACACATATGATAAACTAGTTTAATTTCCAGCATAATACAGTTCATAGAATTTTACCTAGTACAGCCTTTACCAATCCCATCACTTCTTTTTGGATTACAGCATGTCTTAAAAGAGACATCTAACCATGATTTAAAGGTTTCAAGTGATGGAGGATCCAACACATCCCTTGATGTTATTTAAATGGCTAAATAGCTTCACTGTTTAAAATGTGTACCTTATTATTAGCCTGAATTTAGCTATCTTCAGCTTACAACCACTGAATTTTGTTATTTCTTTATTTGTAAGGTAAAAGAGCCCTCTACTAAACTGTTCCCATGTAGGTAACTACAGACCTCTATAGAGCAAAACACCTCTTAACCTTCTCTTTGATAAACTAAATAGACTTAGGGTGCATCTACACAGCAGAGCTTAATTCAAAAGAAGCTACGCTAATTGAGCTACGTCAATTACGTATTTTATTTTGAAATTGGGAGCGTCTACACAGCACTTATGTCAAAATAGAGCACTCTTCCCCCAACTTCCCTAACTCCTCATACAATGAGGGTTACAGAAGTCAGAGTAATAAGTCCTCCAGCTTGACAGTATTTCGACATTATTTTGAAATAACTGCTGCTGTGTAGACACAGATTGTTATTTTGAAATAATGCTACTTATTTCGAAATAATGTTGCTGTGTAGACATACCCTTAGATTCCAACATTTCTCATTGGATTTCCTGAGCCTAAAAAAAAATTAATGGAGATTGCCTATCTCCTAGAACTGGAAGGGACCTTGAAAGGTCATTGAGTCCAGTCCCCTGCCTTCACAGCAGGACCAAGTACCATCCCTAACAAATTTTTGCCCCAAATGGCCTCTGCAAGGATTGAACTCACAACCCTGGGTTTAGCAGGCCAATGCTCAAACCACTGAGCTATCCCTCCCCCAAGCCTGTATCATTCTTCTAGCTCCTTTCTGAACCCTTTTCAACATCCCATGCTCTATGCCATCTGGATACCGGAACCAGACACGGTGTTCACATAACGGTCTCCCCAACACTGTAGACACAGATAGCATCACTTCCCTATTCACACTTCATATTTCCAGTTTATATATTTAATAATCACACCAGTCCTCTTTGCCACTTCATTTCACTAGAAGCTTATGATACGTTGGTTATTTACCAGATCTCTTAATTTTTCTCTGAGTTTCTGCTTTCTAGGATACAGTTTTTGTGTATGGTTCAATCATTGCTTCAGTGCCCCTGGGGTGTCAGGTTAGGGAGTTTCAGGGGATCTTTGACTCCATCACACCCCCTCACCAGCTGATCTGGTTCTACCATGATCTTTTCTTGGTGAGTTGCTCCTTTCATGGTTTCAAAAGTCCAACTAAAAGTTCAAAGATCCAAGGACATAATCCTTCTGACTCTGTTAGCCTTATCCACAGCCTGTTACCTGGACTCAGTCTCTGGAGACTGGCTTTGGATAATGATGTATCATTTATAGTTACCATTAGAGGCCATTACATTTGCTACTTTTAATCTAATGCACTCTATTAATTTTATACAATGCTACATTCTATAATCACACTGTGGAGTTCTACATCAAGCACTTTACAGAAGTGTATTGCAATGCAAAGGATAAAGTATTATCTAATCAACTAGTGCAATAGTTTGAAGTTTTGACATTACAGCCTGTAATCAGTAGGCAATTTTAATAATACTTTTTCAAAAGAAATCTAATACAACCCTTATGTTTAGGATACCAATTTTATGGGAAAAATAGATCTCTCGGAGATCACTTGCTATACTATAACTGGGCAATGGGACATATATAGTGGGACATTACATACTTTAAGTGTTTAAGTGTTTCTGCTGAATTGGTATCTGTTTTTATAAGGATAAAGTATGATCCATTTATAACTCTGGATTGTGAGATGGAAAGGAAATTCATAGTATATAAATAATTGACACTAACTTGCCATTAAATGCTATTGATATTCAGAATTAATGCAAATATGTTGGTATGAACTACAAATATTTACTGTGCATAATCTACATGACAACAGAGGCAGTTATAAATATTCAGTTTTCATAACAGTGTTTAGAAATTTAAAATGTAATTACACAGTATCATGTGATTTAAGCAATTTATTAATGCTAGCATTTTTAATGTATAGTTACCATGCCTTGTAAAAACAATGGCCCAAAGAAAACTGCTGGTTGCATGGTACACTAAAGATATGAAATAAGAACACACACATTTGCCTTTGTACACATTGTTTTCATGCCAATGAGAAAAGTTATAATGGTGTCATACTGGGCACAAGTGGAAGATTTGATAATATTCTGCTTCACTCCTTTAACGAATACAGGAAATTAGTGAGATGAAAGTTCTAATTAATATCATATTGGCATCTGACTTGCAAGTTAAAAGGCCCTTAAACAAAGCAGAACAATAACAGCACAAATAATATCTATTCCCATTAAGTTCAATAATTTTAATCCTCAAGGTGTCTCTCATCTTCCCACACCAAGATAGGTTGTTTTTATTGGCCAAAGGGAAATTCAGTATAAAACTAACTAGCAAAGTTTGAAGTTCCTTTATCTACCCACATGCAGTGCTTCTATGAAGGCTATTATTGTCTAAACCAGTTCACAATGTCCATGTTATTTAATAGGATTTAAAGAAAACCAATTCTGGAGTTATACCCTGATTAAGAAATAGATGTATTTAATTTAGTAGTAAATGATACACTATTTATTTCCAAAGTGAACTAAAACAAAAATCCCATGAACATTAGTTTATATAATTTAGCACATATTAATTTTCCTGGGATTGTTATAGAAACGTTAATGTGATTTGAATTCTTCTTTTTCTAGAGTTTGATAGATTTACTCACTGCAGACTGACTCCAATATTCTGCTGTCCTTACATATTTGCAAAGGTTTTATGGACATGCAGGCTGACATCCACCCCTGTGTCAGCCTTCTGTATGATGCAAATTCCAAGTGTTAAATGTCAAAAGGAAAGCAACTGTTTTAATTATATTACAGTTTTTATGTGGCTTATTAACTATTACATACCTGGTGCTGATTTATATGGTTGTGCTTCAGGGATTCCATGAATTGGGTAGATCCAACATATTCCACGGATTTCTCCATTCTCTGACATAGAGATGCTGTTTGGAAATTCAAGTAAAATATGTAATTAACTTAGAATAGCTAAAAAACCTGGTGTTATTGATTTTAACTTGAAATTGTGGCCAAAATGAGGGAATTAGGTTGCCTCACAGGAGATACTGGGAAGGGACCTTCACTTATTTAGCCTAAAACAAAGACACATATAAATAATTATTTCAAATATATTTGTTATTTTGGTTTGTGGTCATATTTCCTGAGTACTTTCAGTGGGATCACTCTCCCTCTTCTGTTTTTGTACTCAAACTTCCTTGGACTCAAAAGTTCTCAATGTGTCTGATTACGTTCCATTGCACCTTGTGCAATTATTAACATCTATGCACAGCAACTGGAAAGTGGATGTAAAATGGAACTAAATCAGAAAATTAGCATTTACACCCACTACGTAAAGGTGTAAATTTATCGAACAAGATAAAGAATTGAGCTGTGTATTCAAGATATGAGAACACTTGGTCTGATCTGCTGTCATATATCAGCACAAATGGGGAGCAAGTTCTTTGAATTTGGTAGGTATATTAGTGGAAAGCTGACAAAAATGGAATCAGAATATGGTCAATTATATGCCTGGTAATTGCTTACACAAAATATATCTAAAGGAAATTTACTGATTTGTTATTAGTTCAAATTTAGAACTAATTCAAATTAGTTCAAAGAGCAATGGAAGAATCCACTGGATGATAATTTACCTAATAAACCTAAAATCGGTGGCAAGAAATTCACTTGAGTTTCCAAAGTTAAGAAAATGAAAGGCAGGTATTGAAATTGACCAAGTGCTAGTTACCATTGCAATTCTTTATTTGGAAGTTTAAACACTTACACAGAAACATCATTCAGCATGGACAAATTTCTGCCCTTAGAAATACACATGAAAATCAGTCTGGAGGCAGTAAGAATTGCATACAAGTATCTGAGGGCAAAGATTGACTATGGGGACTGAAAATGTTCAACAATGATTTTTTCCTATCCCAATAATTACCTTTTCATGTCCTTGTTTAATTCAGCAGCATCATTATAGGGCCAGTTTTCTCCGTCCTGCCTCACTACATGAATAATCACTGCAGCTTCATACAATTTCATTGTGTCGGGCACAAATAATACGGGGATGTCCAGTTTACCTTTTGGAGGTAGAGGGATTGCTGGAAAATAATACAACAATTTGTCACTAAGGTGGAAAAGGCATAGTTTGAAAGCTTTGAGAGTCATTTAGTCACTTCCTATTTATATAAGGTTTAGTCTATTCCACAGAATAATTACTTTGGATTTTATCAGAAAGGACTTTTTCTCAATTATAACAAAATTTTTCTCAATTATAACAAAATTATGTTAACCTTTTATTGTAAGTAGTCAAATAATATATTGTTGCTCAGCGTGAAATTTACAAGTGATTTACTTAAAGTAAGTAGTCAAATAATATATTGTTGCTCACCGTGAAATTTACAAGTGATTTGTTATTAGTGATTTGTTATTACAACCCAGCTCCCGAACACAAGTGCCTACTTGAAAAGCTCAGCTCTCACTTACAAAAAGATTCTAACCTTCATAGATATTGAGAAAAGGTTGCAAACATGAAAAGAAGACACCTTGCAGGCTCAGAAACCTGTAGGTGAATAAAAAAACCAAAGTAATTTAAGTCATAATTTTAAGGTGATCCCATGATCTTTTGGGGTCTGACTCATGGATTTTGACTGTATGGGCTTAACAATACTATTAAGAGTCTAACGCTATATATAAAGATCCAATCAAAAACATTCCTTTATAACTGTCACATCTCCACATGGCTAAATTATTGTTTTCCTGATTTGCCTTAGCTTAATGAGAAATATTTTGTATGAGAGGAAATAATTAGTATATTTGGATAGGTAACTGAATAGCATAAAGTACAAAAAAAAATTAAAAGCATGTTAGAGAATGTGATGTTTAAACTAATCATCGAATATAGCTACTAAAACTACTTTGATATTTTAGATTTTATCTATTAACATCACATTTTAAATTATTTTATGCTCTAAGGTTAAGTTGCATATCCCTTACTTTGACAACCATTTCCTTTATGTATACTTTAGTAAGACTTATCTTAATGTTTGCCACAGACTTTGCTCGTATATTTCATCCCATGTTGTGACAACCATTTCCTTTATGTATACTTTAATAAGACTTATCTTAATGTTTGCAACAGACTTTGCTCATATATTTCATCCCATGTTGGAGGTACAATATCTCCCAGAGCCCTTGTTTGTACCTCCCCTTTTTAAATTTTGATCTTCTCCACATCCTTAAAAGCCTACAATGATAGTGATTTACACAAGTGCCCAGTGGTTAATCTGTATGGGTACGTCTACACTACAGCGCTAGTTCGAACTAACGGGCTACACAGCCCTTAGTTCGAACTAGCTAGTTCGAACTAGGCGTTAGTCCTCGTAAAATGAGGTTTTCCTAGTTCGAACTAAGCGCTCCGCTAGTTCGATTCAAATTCGAACTAGCGGAGCGCTAGTGTAGCGCATAGGAAAGTTAGTTCGAACTAACGTCCGTTAGTTCGAACTAACTTTCCTATGCGCTACACTAGCGCTCCGCTAGTTCGATTCAAATTCGAACTAGCGGAGCGCTAGTGTAGCGCATAGGAAAGTTAGTTCGAACTAACGTCCGTTAGTTCGAACTAACTTTCCTATGCGCTACACTAGCGCTCCGCTAGTTCGATTCAAATTCGAACTAGCGGAGCGCTAGTGTAGCGCATAGGAAAGTTAGTTCGAACTAACGTCCGTTAGTTCGAACTAACTTTCCTATGCGCTACACTAGCGCTCCGCTAGTTCGATTCAAATTCGAACTAGCGGAGCGCTAGTGTAGCGCATAGGAAAGTTAGTTCGAACTAACGTCCGTTAGTTCGAACTAACTTTCCTATGCGCTACACTAGCGCTCCGCTAGTTCGATTCAAATTCGAACTAGCGGAGCGCTAGTGTAGCGCATAGGAAAGTTAGTTCGAACTAACGTCCGTTAGTTCGAACTAACTTTCCTATGCGCTACACTAGCGCTCCGCTAGTTCGATTCAAATTCGAACTAGCGGAGCGCTAGTGTAGCGCATAGGAAAGTTAGTTCGAACTAACGTCCGTTAGTTCGAACTAACTTTCTAGTGTAGACATACCCTATTGGAAGAGGCGCTGAGGCTCAAGCAATTAGGTTCCAGGGCTCAAACATTTTTTCTTTTTATATTCATAACTGATACAGCAAGCCCAGAGGCGCTGTGGCTCAGTCCTACGACAAGCCTTGAAAGTGGCCATCTTATAGTGAAACCTGACTCTAAATACTTTATTTAGTATGTCATTTTGGATAAACAGGTTTACTGATATTGGGGAGAAAGTCTTCCTAACATATATGACTCCAGCTACGAGAATAGCACAGCTGGAGTCTATGTACCTTAGGTTGAATTTCTATGGTGTCCCCACTGTGGGAGATTGATGGTATAGTCTTCAGCCCATTTCCCTTACTCCTCGTGATCCAGTGGAGTACCAGGGTCAACAAGAGCACCACCAGTGGTTGATTTAGCAAGCCCTTTCTAAGGATATTAAAATGTGTTTAATTAAGTAATCGGGTAACTGCTGAAATTTTCTGGGAGCCTTTAACTGTGAACATTAACCACTGACATCACCTTTCCCTCCTCCAGGAGAGTCAAGAACTCTGTACATGAGTCCAGTGGGAACAACACTTGGAACTTAGCCATTGTGCTCCAAGAGTTAAAAGTGTATCAGCTAAGAACTCCCTGTTGATTAGCTACATGCAACTGCAATTAACCACATGGTATATACTTTACAGCCAAATAAATCCCCCCTTTTGGGAGGGGAGCTCTTTAGCCTTGGGCATAGGCACAGGCTGGCTCAGGCATTCCTTGTGGAATTCCACTTCCACAAATAATGTGTCTTGTTGGGGGGAATGGTGTAAAAAGTGCTCATAGCCCTTTTGGAGTATGAAATACCTTCTTTTCACCCCTTTTGCAGTGGGAGGTATGGAGGCTGGGGTCTGCCAAAGCACCCTGGTACTTGCTTGCATGGTTTTTATGAGAAGGCAGAACAACCCTAAATGGACACTCTGGAGTAACAATGTCCATCATGAGGTCTGAATCTTCCACCATCTTCTCCCTGAAGGTGTAGGTTTTGTGCCTTGTGGTGGAGATCTTGGTGAGCCTTAATACCCATGGTGGGCAGCTTTTGGTGGAGGTACCTGCCACCACTTCATCTGGGGATGAAGAAGAGGTGGCCGCTGATATCGCAACTTCCTGTTCCTCAATGCTCATAGTGGTCATTGCTATCTGCACAAAGGGTTGAGGCAGGATGCTGCTCTCAGGTATGGGCTCAGTAGGGATCACCGGTCAAAGCCAGATCCTCATGCCAGTGTTGCAAGGAACCACATTTGACATTGAGATCCCATGCTCACAATGTCAACACCGCCAATGCCATTCATGACCCTTGTCTTTGGGCTTAGTGGTAGGCCCAGGGAGGTCACAAGGGCCAGTTTCCTGGATCTTGCCACTGAGGGGACCAGGAGACCATCAGTGCCAATGCATGCTGCAGTGTACGGTACTGAGTATGAGAGTGGTACCAGCTATAGGAGGATTCTGAAGATTCATCCCTGGAGCTTGAAGAGTATTCTTCAGTCCAGACCATAGAGGCCCTGAGGCTGATGGTGTCAGAGAACAGAGCTGTGGTGAAGAGGAGCCATGGCAAAGCATTGTAAGCCTGCCCTTATATTGAATAGGCAGTGGTGCCTTTGTTGGCGCTGTCATCTGTGCCATAAACACTGTAGCATGGAGTCCCAGAGTTGGTGCCAACATCACTTGCTGCAAGTCAGAAGGTAGACACACCAGTGCTAGCACTAACCCATGTGCCAATGCCAAAATGGTGCCTGGTTGTGCCAGGGAATGTGCAACCATGGCATCAATGTGTTTGGTGTCAATGAGAGATCTATGTCTTCCAACAATTGTTCCTGAGCTGAGGCGACCAGGATGGCTGGGCTCGACAGAAGAGCTAAAGGCAATGGCACAGGGATCTCTATTACCAGGGCTCACCAAGCAGCAGCGAGCCCCGCTTGCCAGCCACATGGTTCTGCACTCTGCGCATGCGCAGATCGTTCTGTGCATGCGCAGATCGCTCTGCGCCGGCTCTTCTGGGGTGTAATCTACTTGCCACGGGTGAGTAGATTACATTATTTGTCAAGCCCTGTCTATTACAACCCCTGGGTGCCCCAATGCCAGGCACACCTGTCTTGAGCCTTTACACAGTGCCTTGATAAGAGACCAACTCCCCTCCTGCTTCTTCCTCTTGTGCATCACCAGAGATTAGGAGTTATGCTGTGTGATTGACCCCATTTGGAGAGAGGGAAGCAGTGCCTGTGGGAAGTGCTTCTTTGGCACTGAGGTGTCCCATACCAAAGACTGACTCTGATGCTGGTTGAGGTCTTAGTATCGCATCCATCAGGAGGAGCTTGAGTCAGTGACCTTGCCCCTGTGTTCAGGGATGGAAGCTATGCCAAAGAGGGCATTTGTGGGTCTGAAGGCCCTCACCCAAAAATTTGAAATGATCAGTGTGTGGGTTGCCCTTGGGAATATGTATGCCACAGTTTTCACAAGCTTTAAACCTTTGGGAGTGTGACATACCCCAGTAAGGAGACTTAAGGTGCGGGGAAAGGAACTTCTGGACAACTAATGACTAAACTATTAACTATTACTAGAAGTTCTAGTAGGCTAACCAAGATGCTTGTGCAGCAAGAAACTGGAGCTGTTCCAACAATTGGCATGGGTGATAAGAAGGAACTGAGAAGGAGTGGGATTGGCAGTATCTTATATATGCCACCATAGAGCATACTCTAGGGGTATGTCTAGACTACATCCCTCTGTCACCTTTGTCTGTAAATTAGACATACCAAAATTGCTAATGAAGTGGGGATTTAAATATCCTGTGCTTCATTAGAATAAAAATGGCCGCCGCTTTTTGCCGCTGCGGTAATTTGCCGGCAAAAAGCGGCAGACTAGACGGGGATCGGTTAGCAAGGAAAGCCTTTTCTGACCAATCCCTTATGCCTTGTGCAACGAGATTTATAGGATCAGTCGGAAAAGGCTTTCTTTGCCAACCGATATCCATCTAGACTGCCA